CCCCCCCCCCCCCCCCCCAACCAACTCCCATTCAATGACTACACCAACATGAAGTGTACATTAACTGTGTAGTTGGGTTTACTAATCTTATCATGTTTCCCATTTCACTGCTAGCTACTAAGTACAACTATCTGCTTCCAATTACTACTATCTACTTCTGGCCAGTGAAAAGTCTTCTTAAATAGTAGCTTAATAAGTTAGTGCAATTGGTATTTATTATCTTTAGTAGTAGTCTAATTTGAATAGTCCTATTAGTTCTATTATTAGACTTTTTCAAACGTTGAAGTAGTAGTAGTAGTATACATTCCATTTATGATTTGAATTTTATGATTAAAATTTTTTTTGTTTTTTGCAATAAGTCATTATTGTCTGTAAATATTGCGAGCTTATGGATGCACGTAAACTTAGATTAAGTTCGTGTTGCCCCTTTATTTGCGAACAACACAACACACATTAGATAAACATTTGCTCCCCCCCCCCCCCCCTCCCCCCCCCTTTTTTTCCCACTCCTGTAGCGGACCGCTACCATCATCCATATTTAGAGAAACGCCAAGCTACTGCGCTTAGACATAAATAAGAGAATTGTGTGCCACGTAACAAAACAACAACATTTAATTAAATGGATGTCACAGCATAAATGTAATTTTAAAAACAAGACTGTCACATCTTTATAGCGGGTGTGTCGTCTGCATCTTCACTTATTCTTCAACGTCATTTTGGAGATGGTACGAATTCTGTGGGTTAAATAATATTTAATCAGCAGTTATCTGAACACAATGATGAGATGTCGCTTATCAAAGGCCAATCCTGAAATCTCAGTCAGCCGTAGGAAGTAAAGGAGTCCATTGTACGGCACTGGAGTCAGCAACACGTACTCTCAACAATGGAATTCCCCAAGTCTCGGGGCGTAGGAAGACAGGGGCGGGCGACACTTAATTTGGGGCGCCATTATCTCTCCTTTCATATAGGACACTTAATTTGGGGCGCCATTATCTCTCCTTTCATATAGGACACTTAATTTGGGGCGCACTTATCTCTCCTTTCATATAGGACACTTAATTTGGGGCGCCATTATCTCTCCTTTCATATAGGATTCTTAATTTGGGGCGCCATTATCTCTACTTTCATATAGGACACTTAATGTGGGGCGCCATTATCTCTACTTTCATATAGGATACTTAATTTGGGGCGCCATTATCTCTCCTTTCATATAGGACACTTAATGTGGGGCGCCATTATCTCTCCTTTCATATAGGACACTTAATTTGGGGTGCCATTATCTCTACTTTCATATAGGACACTTAATTTGGGGCGCCATTATCTCTACTTTCATATAGGACACTTAATGTGGGGCGCCATTATCTCTACTTTCATATAGGACACTTAATGTGGGGCGCCATTATCTCTACTTTCATATAGGACACTTAATGTGGGGCGCCATTATCTCTACTTTCATATAGGACACTTAATGTGGGGCGCCATTATCTCTACTTTCATATAGGACACTTAATGTGGGGCGCCATTATCTCTACTTTCATATAGGACACTTAATGTGGGGCGCCATTATCTCTACTTTCATATAGGACACTTAATGTGGGGCGCCATTATNTTTCTTATAGGTTTCTTAAAATTCTTTATATTTGCTTCTTTTTTTTTTTTTTAACTCCACTGCTGAAGACTTACAGGAGATGTTGCATTGGCTTTTCTTTTTCTTTGTTTTCTATTGGCCAGAAAAGACTTGACAGCTTATCATGAATTGAGCTTGACAATTCAAGGCTTTAAAAATAAATAAATGGTTACAAATAAATTAGTGCCATAAATAATTAAATTGTAAAAGAAATACTCCATCAAAATAGACTGTACAGTGGCCTAAATTCAGAAATGACTTTGCCAGTTCTTGTCAACAAATTTTTTTAAACAGTGGATACATCAAAGAAGTCATTAAATTGTAGTCGCAAAAAAATTTTCCCTTGACGGATCAATAATCCAAGTCCATCATTGGGTCAAGTGTTAATCCACGTTGTATCATGACAAGAATCGTGGGTAGGAATCGAAATTGGCAAACAACATTCTTCCAACGAATGACAAACAATCCATCTCCCGACTAAAAAGAATAATGGAATATTTACAAGAGTTAAATGCATGTCATTATAGTTAGGCTTATGCAGTGGGGGTTGGTGGTGGTGACACCCTCACCGTGGGGGGGGGGGACACCAAAGTAGACACCAACAAAATGTGATTTTCTGGTTTCAGCCGAAACCGAAGCGAAAGTTAAAATTGACTTTCAGCCGAAACCGAACCGAAAGTTAAAATTGACTTTCAGCCGAAACCGAACCGAAAGTTAAAATTGACTTTCAGCCGAAACCGAAAAAGATATCAATCAATGTGATTTGGTGTGATCTTTTTTTTTTATTTCGTTGTCAATGACAACAATTTGGAGCATAACAATGATAAATGTCAATGAATGACAATGATAAATGACAATGATAAATGTCAATGAATGACAATGATAAATGTCAATGAATGACAATGATAAATGTCATTGAATGACAATGATAAATGTCAATGAATGACAATGATAAATGTCAATGAATGACAATGATAAATGTCAATGAATGACAATAATAAATGTCAATGAATGACAATGATAAATGCCAATGAATGACAATGATAAATGTCAATGAACGATAATGATAAATGTCAATGAATGACAATGATAAATGTCAATGAATGACAATGATAAATGTCAATGAATAACAATGATAAATGTCAATGAACGAAAATGATAAATGTCAATGAACGACAATGATAAATGTCAATGAACGATAATGATAAATGTCAATGAATGACAATGATAAATGTCAATGAATGACAATGATAAATGTCAATGAATAACAATGATAAATGTCAATGAATGTCAATGATAAATGTCAATGAATGACAATGATAAATGTCAATGAACGACAATGATAAATGTCAATGAATGATAATGATAAATGTCAATGAACGACAATGATAAATGTCAATGAATGATAATGATAAATGTCAATGAATGAATGAAATTAAGAAACCTAGCGTTCTGAATTTTCATCTATTTACAAATTTTCAGCCAAACGAGTAATCCTAACTTTGGGCCTTTTACAAAGTCCGTTTAAAAAACACCACCTAAAACAAAATAGTTATTACTTTAAAAATATCCAAAGCTATTCACACGGAATATTGTAAACCCAGTATCTGTATAAGCCGGTGAATAGCCTATCTGTATAAGCCGGTGAATAGCCTATCTGTATAAGCCGTGAATAACCTGTCTGTATAAGCCGGTGAATAGCCTATCTGTATAAGCCGGTGAATAGCATATCTGTATAAGCCGGTGAATAGCCTAGGGGTCGTTCGCAAATTACGGCACTCAAAAAATGACCTTTACAGACCCCCCCACCCCCTCCCGTCACAAAGTGTCACACATTTTTTTAAAAATTCCACCCATTTTTTTACCCCCCCCCCCCCCCCCAGTGTCAACTCACATCTAAAAAAATTCAAAATATACATAAAATTTTCACAACTCAACTACGATTTTATTTTATTCTTTGACATTTTCCCACAATGGATTAAGATGTAGTGCTATGTAAGACAAACTCTGACGCAAAATGCAAAACAACGAGGTCC